GTTTCATTATTGGCAAATGAACTTAAAGGGATACTTGCCCCTAGAGTGGACTTAAATATCTGTATCTTGATCTAGGCACAAATACATATTGCGAGTTTTATTGGCTGTTGAATATATTAAAAATGCAGTTGCTCAAGTTATTGCCAGAAAAAGGGCTGAGGCTAAGATATTAATGATGAACACGACCTTCAGTATCACTAACATTTGTTTCCCGTTTTGTATCCTCCCTCACCGACCCCAACCCACCTGCCTTAAGATGTTATTGATATTGCCAATGCAGCTGTACTGGAAAGCTTTGTTTCTATAACGGAATGTTTATACAGGTAGTCTTTGACTTACAACCATTCATTTTCATGACCATTCAAAGATATGACACTGAAAAAAGGGACTTAAAACCAGTCTTCACACTTACAACAATGGCAGAATCCCCATAGACATGTGATCAAAATTCGGGCACTTGACAACTGGCCTATGAATGCAGTGTCCCAGGGTCATGTGTGACATTCCCAGCTGGCTTCCGGCAAGCAAACCAAATGGGAGAAGCCATATTCACTTAGTAACTATGTGATTCATTTAACAAGTGTAGCAAAAAGGTAAAATTGAGCACAACTAACTTAGCCTTGCTTAGCAATGGAAATCCAGGTCCCAACTGTGGTCATAAATTGAGGACTACCTGCACAGTTTCCCAATTTGTCATGCTAATCTATTTGTTGGAATTGTTAGGAATTGGAACAAGAAAAAGAAGGCCAGGATAAGATGTAAATGTGATATTTTACAATGAGGTTATAGACACACACATGCAAGATTGATGATCAAACACCATTTTTTAAAAAAATAGAAGAAATCTATGAAAAAATACAGTCTGTTCACTTGATTAAAATAAAGTTTGAATGAAAAATAATTTATTTCCGTGTCAAAAGCTACCAAAAATCATGGAGGCATCTGAACCAACATCTTCCAACCAGTAGCATTGATGGGCTGGATAAAAATTCACATCTCCTCCTGCCATCCTGACCAGTGAGTAAGGTTATATGTTAACAGTACTTCATTTACATAGACAATCTAAAGCTGTTTGGAAAAACATCATCTGAAATAGAATTGCTGCTCCACACTGTTCAAATATACAGCCAAGATATTGCAATGGAGTTTGGACTGGACAAATGTGCCACCCTCACCATAAATAGGAGGGAAATGGTGAAAACTGAAGGAGTCAAGATACCTTATAAAATAACATCAAGAGTCTGAATGAAGACAATCACTACAAATACCTGGGCATCCATCAAGCTGACAACATCAAACACACTGAAGTCAAAAAGAAAGTAAGAAATGAAAACATCATTAAAGTGAATAAAAATCATAAATTTCAGAGTCAATGGAGAAAAGACAATTAATACTTGGGCAAATCCAGGCATTAGACACACAGCTGGAACAGTGGACTGGACTCAAGCAAAACTAAAAGCTTTGGGTACATTGAGGTGTGTGTTAACACAATACCAAAGATTAGCAATGATCTTAGAACAGCGGTGTCAAACTTGTGGCCCATGGGCTGGATGCATCACGTGCTGGCCATGCTCACTCCTGGTTTAGTGAAGGGGAAAAAGTTGTGATATGTCACATGATGACAATGTGACTAGTGGTGGGTTGCTCCTGGTTCGGCTCGGTTCAGGCGAGCCGGTAGTGGTGATGATGTGACGTCAGCGAACCGGTTCTCTATGACTGTGAGCTGGGCCCTCCCGCTTGCCCCCGCATTATACCTATCTTTATTTGTCGCTTTTTAGCCCAGCTGATAGGCACAGCAGAGTGGATTGCTGCACCTCAGCTGGACTGAAATCTAATGCACTCGTGCGGTGCGCACGTTCAGCACGTGTGTGAGCAAAGTGAGCATGTGTGTGGTGAAGCGCGTGCGTGAAGAGAACCAGTGGAAACACCAGTTGGAACCCACCACTGAATGTGACGCTGTGAGTTTGACGCCCCTGTCTTAGAAGAAGCCATTGTTGCTGTTAGTCTTTCACACATGGCTTCTCCATTTTGGCTTTCTTTTTGTAAAATGATAACATGATGTAATATATCATGTGTTGTTCATATGAGGTTGTATTCACCTATTTTTAAGAACTGCTAAGGACCAGATGATTTTTACTATGTCCTGATACATAAAACCATAGAACTCAAAGTGGGTATACTATACTTAGTTTTTCACGACTCTGTGTGTGTGTGTGTGTGTGTGTGCATACATACATATACATATGTATGTACATATATGTATATATACATATATATACAGAGAGAGAGAGAGAGAGAGAGAGAGAGAGAGAGATTACTATATATAGTAGACCTGAAGACAGAAAAATAGAACAGACAAAAACTGGAGAAAAATTACAAAATACAAAGATCTGCAAATAAACTTGAACAACTCTGGCAAAAAAAAGCAGAGGTAATATCAATATTAACAGGCACCTCGGGTGCAATCCCAAAAACATCTGGAGCACCACTTGAACACAATCAGCATTGACAAAATCAGTGTCAGTCATTTGCAAAAGGCAGTTTCACTTGGAATAGCTTGCATCCTGTGATGATACCTTTAATACCATCGAAGAACAACATCTGCCTATCCTTGATCCTTAAGAAGGACTCATTAGGTGGATACCAATGCCAAATCCAGTCTAAACATCTGGCTGACTGTGCCAACCATAATATATTCAATATATTTGCTGCCTGACTCCCAATGACTTTAGGCAATTATTGCAGCCCAGCTGTTTGCCTAGGATGGATATTTTTTTTTCTGATTTTACATATGAAAATAAAAGAATAAGAGAGGGTAAGATAATAGCACCAGTTGGGACAGAGGAGATCTGATATAGCCCAGTGATTTATAAAACTGCAACTCTAGAAATCCCTGATCCAAGTTTCACCTCTCATGTAATCTTGTTGCATGTCATTAGGTAAGTCTCTCTTAGTGGCATTCTTCCCCCGTTCCATCTGAAATACTGGAATAACTAGCAATACAGATCCATTTTTAAAGACTGTTGGAAGACTTATAATGCATACTTCATATCAAACACATGATATGAAGTATGAATCTTTATTAATAATAATCTATTAATAGTTTGGATAACAGGATAGAAATGATTTTTCAAATAATTACTATTATTTTTATTAATTTATACTCTTCCATTTGTGCAAGAAAATTGGGCAGTATACAGATTTATTTCTTTTCCTCTCCATTCCTACAGCATCCTTGTGAAGTAGATCAGGTTGTGAGCCAGTAAATAGTGGAAGATTTCCACTTGGCTAAATGTTGATCTGAAGCTGGATCTCTAATCCGAGAGTAATCACTATACTGTACTATCACTGTTGCTAATGCTGGTCTCCTGATCTAGTAATGCCTGTTTTATCAGATTAAATAATTTGCTGTTGTGAATAAAAGTGTTCCTTGCCAGTTGTTAGTTAAAACAAAATGATACTTTTCCTCGTTAATAGGGAAGCAGTGTTATCTATTCAGGGCTTAAACAAACCAGAGACTTTATTCTCTGACTGTTTCTATTGTTACCTAGAAATAAGAATTGTAAAACAATTTTTGTGTTGGTCTTGCCTCTTCATGGTAGCCCACCATCAGTTCAAAGGACATCAGGAGAGATTGTAGGGGGTTCCCATACAGCTAGTCCTCAATTTATTACCACAATTGAGCCCAAAATTTATGTTGTAAGATATTTGTTAAGTGAGTTTTGACCAATTTTACGACATTTCTTGCCACAGTTGTTAAGGTAATCATTGCAGTTGTTAAGTTAGTAACTCAGTTGTTAAGTGAATCTGGCTTCCCCATTGACCTTGTTTGTCCGAAGTTTGGAAAAGGTGATCACATGACCTTAAGACACTACACCTGTCATAAATATGAACCAGTTGCCAAGCACCGGAATTTTGCTTATGCGACCATGGGGATGCTGCAATGGTTGTAAGTGTGAAAAAATGGTCATATGTCACTTTTTCTAGTGCCGTTGTAACGTTGAGCAGTCACTAAATGAACTATTGCAAGTTGAGACACAAAGAAGTTTGCTTAAAACTAACTTTCTGCACCTGGCTTCCAGACGTACAACTCTATTTTCTCTAAACTTAATTCACACTGTCTCCCACCACTAAACATTTAGATTCCTCCCCCCCCCCCTGAAAAAAAAATCTGATGCCAGTGTAAGAATTAATTTTGGAAGGGAGGCAGGGAAGATCCTTTTTAAATATCTGGAGTCTGGATTTGCCTGTTGCCTACCTTGTCAAACTCCAAACGTGCCAAAAATGTGACCCAAACAAACCAACAAGAGCAAAACATGGGTGGGAACTAACACCCATCCCCACCCCCACCCCCGACCCTCAAAAGTAATGGATTCATTTTAATCTGAAGGTAGCAGCTAAGAGGCACAGGCAAATGTTACATAATTCATTGCATGCTTCCACTGTTTGTATATGAAGATCAAAGGTAATGAAATATTCTTGTAATATAAGAAGCATAAACCCCCTCCCCAATATGACCTAAAGACTGCAATATCATTTCATTTTAAACTGTTCTTATTTTAAGAGGGATACCCCATTGTCTAATATCTTAACATGTTTCTGCAGTTTTCTCTTTCTGTTCCTGCCTGTTTAAACCACCAAGGTAAGAGAAATTTCTATCACGTAATGCAAACTCCCAATTGTTTTGGAGAGAGAACGAGAGAAGCACATCTTTTAACAATTTATGCATCTGTAAAATGGAAACCTGCATGTACGCAGAGAAATCAGTAATAAAACCCCAGTGGTTAGCCACAGTACTTAATTTTATGAGTTAGGATTTTTTTTCTTCTTTTTTTCTGTTTTTAAGTAAAAGCATGAATGCTTGAAGAATTCCACATTCCTCAAATCCTGCTTTTCATTTGGGGCTGACAGGCAAAGTTCAGAACACATCATTATGGGAGTTCACAGTCACTGCTAAAGGTAACACTCATATTACAAATGAATTAATAGAAAACACTTACCTTCCCTACTAGCTTGCCTTTCCTGTTCATGCAAAGGTAAAAGTCTGTCTCTCTCCCTTTGATCCGGACTTGACTGCCAAATGTGTCTGTTTCCACTAGAAGCTGGGCTTGTAAAGGAAGAGGAAGAAGAAGGAAAAAAGAAAAAAGGGGGAAAAATTACAAGCATTTACCAGACTGGTCATAGAGTGAATGAAGAAGATGACTTCTTATATGTTCTCCAATTCAGAGACAGAGTATCATTGCTATATGACTGGAGGCATGCAGTACAAAACGGGCACACCAGCTTTCATAAATGATCCATTATATATCATAAGGAAAACTCACATGCGGTACATAATTGGGTTGTTTTTTTGGACAAAAAGACAGGCTGACAACTCTGATCAAAAGAACACCATAGAAATGAGAACAGCATTAGTTTCACACAAAAAAACAACAACCCCATTTTCTTTTAAATTTCAGGGGGCATCCGGATGTTACTGATTCCAGATTGTACTTTATATCACAAAGCCAACCCCCTCCCCCCATTCAATCCAATCCAGGTAAATCAAGAAAAGGTGGGGGGAGAGTGCAGGGAGGTGAGTTACTACAACTACTTTTCTACTGCTACTTTGTGTGGGAGCAAATAAAGCATTAGATTAGTAAGAAAGATGGTCCTGCCACCTGTTTCAAATGGCATCGTGAGATGGGACAATAACTGCTGGCAAGAACTGGCATCTCAAATGGTGCAGCAAATCTTTTGAAATGAAGTCAAGGCTTCCAATAACTCTCCTCCTTGTCAACTGTCTCAGAATGGCACTATCACCAAATAAAGCCACGCTGAGATTCCTCAAAAGAAAGTTCCAAGAAAGTTCCTGAGATTATTTTCTTACTTCCCAGCTGCACTAGAAAAAAAGTTGTCTGCTTGACTGAATGTACTCTGAAAATTCTTCTATTAGGTTTTTCCCTGGCCACACATTATCCTAATACACCAAAGATGGAACATACATTCCTTGAGTGTCCTTACCCATTTTATTATTTCTTTCAAAACAAATGGGTCCATGTTTTATCATGCACTGAAATTCATGCATTAAAACAACAGGGGGCAGCTCATCATTGTGGCCTCAAAAGTAAAAGGAATATGATACCAATTGCAGCTCACAATAGTAGAGCTCATGCCCAAACAGAGTGTGGCATGTGACATCTACGGCAAAATAATACATTGTACGATGTTCCAGCCACCCAAACCTGTCTTCTTTCAGTTTATTCCATGAATTTCTCTTCTTTGCACCTCTTCCCACCAAAATATGAGGCAGCCTTTGAAGCCACTGAGCAAGATTCAGGCCTTTTTAGGTTTTCTACTTTTCCTTAAGAGTTCTACTTTTCCTTAAGAATTTACACACACACACTTTTTACAAATCTTGACTTGTCTCTGAGCTTGTTTATAATTCCATCTTGTTTATGCAGAACACAATTTTAGCAATGGGAAGGTCCATCTTTGGAAAACGAGTCTGCTAACCTCATGAAGATCTTTCTGGACGTTTTAGAATAATCTTTCTATAGTTTCAAAAGAGCATTTGTGGTGGTGGAAACAAATAAGGGCAAGTAATAAAAATTGACAGGTATGTTCTTAATTTAAGTCCATCAATCTCATGCTGCAGATTTAGAATAAATAAGTTAACCTCGTCTGACCAGACCAAACTCAAACCCTAAATTAAAGTTGATCAAAGACGAAACACAGGGCAATTTATTCACATCATGGTTCTAAGCCCAAAGCAGGCCACCTTGACTGCAGAGAAGTGCAGTGAGCCAAGTTCCAGGAACCAGGCTCAGCAGTTTCACAGAGAGCCATGAACAGATGCTTTGGAAAAGAGATAGCAGGTGTTCCTTGGTTTAAAAAAAAATGCCTGCGAGGAAGATGTTAGCAGAGATGGTAAGAAAGACCCATAAGGAACAGGGAAACAGCTTTGCCAAAGAGTTGTGAGAAAGAGCTCTTTCTGGGATCCAAGAGAGCTGCTGCCAGTCAAAACAGATAACACTGGGCAGGGAAAGCCAATGGATTAACCCAGTGTGAGGAAAATTTGCCTGTTGGCCAGCATAACTGCACGTTAACTTTGCTGCTTCTGTCTGCCAGTGTTGCTGCAGTTATAGGTCAAATGCTCAGGGAATTCAATCCTTCAACTTTTTTTTTTTTTGCTGTGTATAATGTTGACTGTCAGATAAAAACAATTTTTGGCAAACTCTGTCCTGTAGATTCAATAACAAATCCTAATGATAAAAAGATTGCCTACCTCACATCCTCCATTCTCTGGAGCCAAATTGTCAATTTCAATCATGTTAAAGCAAATGCCTCAGCCTCTTTTAAAATGCATGTGTACCTCTCCACTCCAAAATACTCCAAGGAAAGCTGGGCAGTTTCAAAACTACAAGATACATCACCTCACTCTTAAAGTAAAACAAGTATGAGTAATACCCAGGCTGATTTTAATTTGAAAAGTATCACCTTAAAAAGATGTCAGTTCCCTGCTGTGAAAATCAAAACCATCTGGATGGCGTGATTTCCAATAATTAATGTAGCTCTCCTTTGACACGGTGACTAATTAAAATATGATACCCCCTGTTTTTTTTCCAAGTACCACATTTGAATTACAATTACAATAAAGCGCCAATAAAATAATGGGAATAACTTTGGAAGAAATGAAACATACACTTTTTTGCTTTTTTGACTTGGCAAGGAATAATATAGATAAAGCTTTATGCTAGCAAGAATTAAACAAGGCAAAAGTGAAGTAGGTAACCTTTCTGGAAAAGCACAAGGAACAACTTCCAAACGTATCAAAACAAGAAGCAGTTGCCTCCAAGAAACAGGTTTGAAATGCACACAATTCAGAAACAACATACTGGAATGGACAAGAACACACCTACTACGAAAGAACTTCATCTCAGTTTAATCAACCACAAGTGATTCTTGTGATTCTTGAAAGCCTTATTCTCAGAGATCTCCAGAAGTTGTCGCTGTATTGTCATTTTTAATGAGACACAGGGGGACAGAATGAAATACCCATTTTAAACTTAACACCAGTTGATGATTTTATCCCCACAAAACAAAATGAAATTTATTTTATAAACTCACAACATTTTACAACAGGGCCGCTGGTATCCTAGTCAAAGCCCCAATGGGACTCCTTGCCTTGAAAAAAGGTTACCCTCCTCTAATGCAAAGATCATAATGTGAATTTGAAATGAGGCAAATGGAATTAGCCCATTTTAGAGGCTGTGAATCCAGTTCTGGGACAGATAAATTAGCCAATTAGATAATAGGGTACACTAAAGAAGGAAGTCCAAATTTCATTTATCATTGCTGTTCATATACCAATCATGAATATGTTTTGTCCTGTTGGAGTGCCAGCACCAATTGGCGCACTACAGCCCAATTTCTTAAATTTGTATAAATTTGCATAAACAAATGAATAAGCCTGTACATGCTAGTGCCCTCCTACAGTTTTTCAACTTTTTAAAAAAGTCTTTATGGTAGAATACAGGTAGTCCTCATTCTATGACCACAATTGAGCCCAAAATTTCTGTTGCTAAGCGAGACATTTGTTAAGTGAGTTTTGCCCCATTTTACGACCTTTCTTGCCACAGTTGTTAAGTGAATCCCTGCAGTTGTTAAATTAGTAACATAGTTGTAAAGTGAATCTGGCTTCCCCATTGACTTTGCTTGTCAGAAAGTTACAAAAGGCGATCACACAACCCCGGGACACTGCAACCGTCATAAATATGAGTCAATTACCAAGCATCTGAATTTTGGACACGTGACCATGGGGATGCTGCAACAATCATAAGTGTAAAAAATGGTCATAAGTCACTTTTTTCAGCGCTGTTGGTAACTTTGAACTATCACGAAACGAACTGTTGTAAGTCAAGGACTATCTGTAATATTTCTTTAAGCAGCATCATATTTTCCATGAATTACCAAATGACGCACGTTTGTGAGATGGATATATAAATTTGCTTGATTGAAAGACACAGAGAAATAGATAAATACCACTACAAGAGTGAGAATTACATATTATACTACAGAAACAAATATTACTGAAAATCTATAGATCTGACTTCTTTGCAGAATGGGAGGGGTTATTTGCATGAGAGAAGGGGTGAAAAGGAAAGAGTACTTAACTACTGCAGCACAACTTCCAATCCTAGCTAAACTTAATCCCCAGGATACCTGGGCCCACATTTGCAAAATAAACATAGGCTGGAACTCAAAAGAATAAAAGTCTCAAGAGGAAGGAATTTCAGAGGAAAAAAATAGCAGGCAAGGGAAACATTATGCACATATATCCTTCCCCCAAATCAACCTCTTCTGAATCAAATGTAATGTATAGCCCACCATGAGATTTGTCTCTTGAGGAAAAAACCAACTGCAATGCACTCCTTCCATTAGCTAATTCAAGATTAGTGCCAACAGACTTGTAAGCAAATTCAATCACTGAGAAACAAACAAATGTATAATTCTTTTTATCTACACGGCATAAGCAACCACAATTTCAGATGCAGGTCCAGATAAACAGTCCCTACATCTTTCAACTGTGAAAATATTCAAAAAGAGTTTATTGTAAACAAATAATATATCACCACATGTGTAATGTACATATGTACCGTAAATGGTTGTGGCTGGATGGATTTAAGAGGTCCTTAGAAAGACAGAGGTGAGAAGTCTAAAAAACAGAAGTATATGGATATGGCGAAAGCAAGGATGATTTCCAAGGATAGAAAGATATGGAGAGGAATAGTGGATGGTGTTAGTGTAAACAAGATTTAGCCAAATTTCCTTCTCTTGTCTCCTGCATTTACTCTTTTTTGCTCTTATTGTTTCTGACTCCTTTTAAAGTTTATATCTAAAAATTTGGGTGCAGCAATTTGAGAATCCCTGGCAAAATAAATAGTTTCCTAAAGTATGCTGAATCTTATTGGAAATTTCCACAAGGATCTATTAATTTGCTTCTCCTGCAACGTCTCAAACTGTATCTGGAGGGATCTCTTCTGAGGAGCATGGGGGCATGTGAAGGAATGGAAAGGCAACATAGTCTATTTTATGAATGAAAATTCTGTTCTCTTCATTTGGGAT